TAATAATGTGGAAGGAAGAACTGAGTAGTTTGTCAAAGTCCCAGATGTTTCCAAGAGGTAAAACTGGGATTTGAACTCAACTCTCCGGAGTCCCAGGAACCTCATCTTCTTCACTTTCCTCAGTTCAAAGCTGAGTCAGTCCTACTCAGTTTGTGACACACCAACACTATGAACCAGGCCCATCATGTTCTCTCCCCTCCCTGTTATCAGACCTTCCTTAGTCTTTGTCCTACATTGTTGCCTGACTCCGCCTGGCTTTGGGTCACATGCGGATATATTTGCAATTCACATACATGGTATCGTTGTATCAAATCTTTGTGTTTGCATTTTCCATTCAGCACTACTGTTCTCTGTATGCATCTCATCTGTTCCTTCCACTAGCTGCATGCATGGTATACCATGCTGAACATCCACCACTTTAATTAACTACACCCCACCCACCCACGCACACAGAGTGATTCATACTTAGTTGGTTTCAACACACCATGACATACATCGCTGCTGTGAACATCTTCATGTTGGTTGATGTTTGCTGAGGAGTTAAGTGACTCATGGCAACCCCATGCTCAATGGGACAAAATACTGCCTGTGCTGAGCCAGTCTGGAGACCAGTTCTGGACTGAACCAGTGTGGTCCACAGTATTGCCACTGGCTGATTTTTGGAAGCAGATCACCAGGCCTTTCTTCCTAGTCTATCCTAGTCTTGTAGCTCCTCTGAGATTTGGTCAGCATCATAGCAACATGCAAGTCTCTACTGACAGATGCGAAGTGGTTGTGCCTGGGGTACATTGGCTAGGAACTGAACCCGGGTCTCACTCATGGAAGTGAATACCACCACGGAACCCCCACTGCCACCAAGAACATCTACATAAACCAGACCAGTTATTGTTGATTTCAACTCATTGTGTCCCCACCTGTGTCACAATTGAACTGTGTTCCTTGGGGTTTTTTTGTTTTTAAGAAACAATGGTTTATTTTTCTAACCGAGTGACCAAACTGCTGAATCTTAAGGCCCCAACAAGCGTTGAATCGTATTATTTTCATTGAACGAGACTTTCTATTTGATTATTTCTGGTACACAGCAATTTTTTTTCTCCTATAGTTTCCATTTGTCAGACAGTTTAGCCTGGTAACTTTTGCTTTGATGAGATTCTATCATATGAATCCTCATTTCCAGCACAATAACTGGTAGCAATATTGCAACATAAGTCCAGTCATCAGGACGTGGCTATCGTGGCTGGCCAAGGAGGCCTGCATTGGCTGCCAGAGCTTCCGTCTGCTGAATATGATATTCTTGTAATCTCATGGATACTCTTGGTGTCATTTTAAAGTACTTCTGTAAGCAACGCTCTGAACGGGTGGTCTCTTCTGGTTTCACTTCTCCTGTTGTGAAGTCTTTAGCATGGTCCAAAAAGCAGGCTTCTGTAAGTTTCTTGTAGGTTCCAAGAAAACGGTTTTATCTGATCAGATTCTGGTATTTGTGCAGCCATATTCTTTTGGTATGCTCATTAGTCACCTCTTCTGACACATGAGTTTCTTTTCTTTTCTGAAATAGTGGTTGTCTAAGCTTTTCTTGAATGTTTCCAGTGAGGCCTGAGTTCTTACCTGTTTTAGGTCTTTAACGTCAGGAGTTTGTTTCCACTGGAAAAGCCGTTCCTTGGGTTTTAAAAGGCAGGATTTTATTATTTTTTCAAATGTTTTATTGTGAATTATGTGATAGTTTACATAGGAGAACATTAGTTTTACATTCAT